GAGTGTGTATAAAATATTGCTTGCTCCCCTCCAGCAGCTGAGTCAGTGTTTGGCAAGCCAGTTCTGGCCACCATCTGAAGCCGCAAGTGTGCAGTTCTTTGTTGCAGCTCCAGCCTTTGAAATTAGAAGAAAGGAGGGAGAAGCCCAAGTAGTCATTAAAATGTGGGCAGGGAGTGGAGCCCCTTTTTCCAGCAAGCATCTTCAACACCTGCCCACACCCTGCCTTGCTTGCTCTGCATCTCAGTTCTGCCCTGCTCGCTCGGTGGCAGGTTAGCAGCCCCGAAGGATGCCTTTTCCTTCAATAGCTTAGCCTGCACAGCATCTTTTTAAAAGCCCCGTGTTGAATGGGGAATCTGATTTAGTGTGTCTCATCTGGATCTTCTGAAGGAATTTCCCTGAACCTAATCTCAGCTGGGATGGGAATTGAGCATAAGTCACGGAGTGTTTACTTTGTCTGTCTGATCCATGCAAGCCAGGAACAGCCGGCCTCAATTAGGCCTATTAATATTTTGTGGGGTTTTTTGGGTTCAGCGAAGTCTTTACTACTTTGGTTTGGCTGTTTCCTTTTATGGGTAATGTGCCTCCCTTGTGGATGCAGACCAACCATTTTTAGCACTGGGTTTAGGGGGGTCATTGACTGCTTAACGGGCTGAACACCAGAGATTTATGATGGCTTGTTGTTCGCCATCTGAACTCCAGTTAGTAAGCCTGGTGAGAGAGCATGGCTGGAACTCTCGGTCCCGCCACTGCTTATGCATGGGTGCCACAGAATCATAGGATTGTAGAGCGGGGTCCAGAGGGTCATCTAGTCCAACCCCCTGCAATGCAGGAATCAGCTGCAGGATCGTTGGCAGACGGCCATCCAACCTGTGTTGAAAAGCCTCCCAGTGAAGGAAAGTCCATCACCAGCTTTCTGTCCAGTCTAGATCTGGGGATTTAATCCCCCTGCCCCACAATTGCTGTGGGTCTTGGTGGACCGCGTAATGATTTTTCTGCCAGTCGTAGCAATTGTAATGCACTGTACTAGCATGGTTTTTAATTGCATTTTTATTGCTGCTTTTATTATGTATTGTATTTTATTCCATAGAATGATGTGGAACAATTGCAATGCCATAAAACTTAACAATCAAACTGTAATGCCTATTGTTTTCAAATCATGATACAATAAAAGAAGCAATAAAAATACCAAAGAAATACAATTAAAAAACAATATGAGTGTGTAATGCGATGAATGTCCCATCTCCCATCTTCAAGCACAGTCCAGAGGCCACAGATGGTCTGGATGAATCCCAGTGGCCTGTGGACCACGCCTTAGAAGCCCCTGGTCTAGATGAAATGAGGTCCTCAGATTAAGGCTACACCATTGGGAAATGCAGTTTGGGGTAATTTCCTTGTGCCTCTCCAGACAGTTGTGTTACAGCACAAATAGTTTTTACCCTGCTGCTCTAGTGATGATTCTCTTTTACCACAGTTGCTTGGAAGATCATTTACAGATTTTTCTCAAGGTTAAGCACTCTGTCCCTTCTCATCAGGCGCCTCTTTGGGATTAAATGTAATCCTGAAAGAGCTCCGTGAGAATTGAAAGGGGAGAAGGATTTGGGTCAGCTAAGCCCCCTGAGCATGGGGAGTGGACTGCGGCTGTTGATTAGTTGGGGAGCAGGCGTAAGGGACCTTGAAATGCTCCCTGTTGCTCGTAGGCACGCTCACCCTTTTGCAGGATGGCTGGAGCAGGGACCTGCCTGATATATACACTTGCATGCAGTCGAGTGTTTTTCCAAGAGAGAATGCATTGCATTGCAGAGATCTGGACTAGATGGCCCTGGGTGGTGAGAGAATGAAGAAGTGCTGACTTCTAGGAAGGACCTCACCCCCTGTCCTCCCTGTTGAGCCCTCCGTTCTGCTGCCCTGCCCTACTTTGGGGGGAGAAAGTGGCCTGGAGGAATAGAACATCCTTCTGGGAATGTGCCCTCCCTGGTAGTTGTGGGCTCCCTCTTCTGACTGGTTATGGGGAAGGACCCCCAGGCTTGGCCTGACAGGTTGACGGACCCCCCCCCCCTGCATTCTTGGGTGCAGGAGAGCAAGGATTGGCCCACAGCTCTTGCCCCTCCTGGCTCTCCCAGTGCCGCATCCATCACTGTCGTTCAGAGTCATGTACTACAATTTCCAAGCAGCGAATTCTTGGCAGGAAGTTATCTGTAGACTCAGCTGTGTCAGCCTCCTGTCTGTGAGCATGTTCAGCTACGATAAAATCCCATTTCTGTCTGCACCCCTAGGCAAGGCAGGAGAGCTTGTCCTTCAGCTGTTGACACACGCTTCCAGCGTATGTTTTTGGAAACAGCAGGAATGACTTTGGCAGAGGATTTACCAAAGGGGCAAAGAATCATAGAATTGTAGAGTTCAAAGGGGCCTCAGGGATCATCTAGTCCAACCCGCTGCGGTGCAAGAATCACACCTAAAGGATCCCTCACAGATGGCCACCTGATCTCTTTCAAAACCTTCCAGTAGAGGAGGGTTTGCAGGCTTCTGAGGGGCTTTGTTCCACAGTCCAACAGTTCTTATTGTAAGAAAGTTCTTGATGTTTAGTCGGCATCTCCTTGTAACTTGAATCCATTGGTTCTGACCCTCCTCTCTGGAGCAGGAGGATGTGATGGCCCTTGAGGTGTTTGAATGTGGCCCTCATATCAAGTTGGGTCGGGGGCTGGCGCAGGCTGCTCCTAGCCGCCCATGAGAATAGAATGGCCCCAGGCACCCCACAGGTCCTTAACCCCACCACTGGTCCTATCTCACATTGCATGTACAGAAGATGGATGGGGGTCTGTTTCCAGCACTAGCTCTGCTTGTCTCCTCCTGGACCTTTGTGTCATTGGAAAGAAAATGTTGTTCTTCCTTTTTCACGTATCCTTCTTGGCTGTGCATTAGGCCAGACTCTTCTCCTTCTCCCTGCCTCCCACTGCGAATCTCCCTGGTTTTTGCAGGGCTACAGCTGGAGGGCAGTGCTGAGGGGTTTAAACAGCAACACACCCTTCATCCCAATTAGAGCTCTGCCTCCCATCCTGAATTAGAGCTTTGCCACCAATCCTGCCGCTTCCTGAACCCAGTGCAGCTTGTGGGTGCAGGTGATGAAGGACTCTCTTGCCACAACAAACGCCTTCATTGCCCAGAAGTTCCATTTCCGGGCCACATCCTGAGCTGGTGCTGTGGCAGTGTCTCCCTCCCTCTCTTTGCCGGAGAACCTCCAGCTATTTATTTTATGCTTGATGAAACCTGCGGTGCCTCTTCTGCAGTCGTCCCGTCTACTGTTGTGCATCTTCACATAGATCTCCATGAAGGAGCGGCCTGACACTCTCCTCAGCTTTGGAATCCTGCAGGGATTAGCAATAGCAACCTTAAAGGAAATCCATTTCTGTGCATCAGCCGCTGTTGCTGAATGTATTTAGTGCTCCCACAGCAAACGGGGAGAAGAGCGCACCACGGGCCCCCAGTCGAAGCGGGGCTTTTGCATTACAGTAGTACCTCAGGTTAAGAACTTAATTCATTCTGGAGGTCCGTTCTTAACCTGAAACTGTTCTTAACCTGAAGCACCACTTTAGCTAATGGGGCCTCCTGCCGCCATGCAATTTCTGTTCTCATCCTGTTCTTAAACCAAGGTACTATTTCTGGGTTAGCGGAGTCTGTAACCTGAAGCATCTGTAACCCGAGATGCCACTGTATTCCTGCTGTAAAGCCAGGATCCTACAACTGTATGATCCCAAAGGGCCACCTAGCACAGCCCCCTTGGATGCAGGAGGGAAGGTGGGAGGTGGCTTGGAGATGGAGAGCTCTTGCACCGATGTTTGGCAGACAATGTGGTGAGGAGGCACCACACTCTCCTCCCCCAGTTCCAAGGAGGCCTTTTTGGAAAAGAATAGTCAGTGTGTCAGTACCCTCATTCTTCCTGCGGGACAAGGGTCCCCTGGACCTGTAGCCAAGAAAGCCAACCAGAGCTATGGTTGTGGCTAAGGAGGTTGGGTTTCCCACAGCACTGCACCCTCTTCTGGCAGAAGCAGCTGGGTCAGAAAGCGTTTGGATAGGAACAAAGTGGCGGAAACAAGGGCACAGGGAAAGCATTGGGGGGCAGCATTATGGAAATTCTTAGCTGTACCCCACCCCCAGAATGCTCTTGGTTAAATGCTAAGCCTGTGTGTGGCCTGTGGTGGGATGCACAAGGTGTGGTTTTTTTACACACAGAAAACTAGACAGCATTAAGGCTTTCCCCACTGCAAAATTCCTGACACTATCCAAAGGCCACTTCTCACACCACACTTTGTATTCTGGACATGCACGTTGCGTTTTAGTGCATCTGTGACAAAGCCCGCGTGTGTGTGTGTTTTTGGCAGGTCATAAACTGTTCAGAAGCGTTTAAGCCATGTACAAATGCTGTTGAAATCAGGCCTGGATTGTCCCCTTGTTTTTGTGTAAGATGGACCCTGGGAGCTGCATGTGGGTTGAGCGGGACTTCCGAGGTCGAGATGAGATGAGATGAGCTCCTTGGGCCTCTTCCGCTGCCCCCTCACCCACCGCTTTGCTCAGGGCCCTGCAGACCCCACAGCCCCACCCATTCCCCCAGTCTTGGTCAGCGCAACCCCGTCTGATTTCAGAATGCATAGTGGGTTGTGCAAACAATATATGTCTCAGATTGCCTGCCTTGTCCCTGCCGCTGTGCCCATTTCGTGTTTCCCCTCCTGATTTCCTCTTCCTCCCGCCCCGCCCCCTGTTTCTTCTGCTCCTTACTCTGATACTTGCTGTGGCTCCACTTGGCCCAGTGTAGTGATGAAGCTGTAGAATTTCTGCCTGTGGCTATAAATGGCAATCACATTCACATTATGTTGCAACAAAAGCAGGGAAGGCTGCAAATCAACTCTTGACTGCAGCTAAGACGGGGTTGATGGTTGGGAAACAGGAACATCGTCTAATTCATTTTTTCCTTTGTGTTTTCTGCTTTTTTACTTCTCCCCCCCCAGGAGTACAAACAGAAGCTTGCTCGGGTAACTCAGGTCCGCAAAGAGCTCAAATCCCACATCCAGAGCCTCCCCGATTTGTCGCTGCTGCCCAACGTGACGGGCGGGTTGGCACCTTTGCCATCTGCTGGGGACCTTTTCTCAACTGACTAGGGCACGTGGGTGTCTGCGCTCCCCCTTCCCCTCCCTCCACCCACAGTTCCAGTTACTACCAGCAGGACACCGGAAATTCCCACCGCATTCTCACACAGGAAGGACTGGACATAGGATGACTCTCCTTTGACCCTCCGCTGGACACGGCGTTGCAATGGGACATGGCTCTCTCTCGGAAGGAGGCAAGCGCCCTCATGTTGGGCAGAAAATTCAGTTTCTCTTTGGCCGCCCCCGTTAGCACCTCCAGTTTCCACCTGTGCAAATCATGTGTCGTCTTCTGAGAGCTTTTTAGGCAAAAGAAAGAAAAGTTGATTTACACTTTTGCTCTCTCCCCCTCCTTCCCCTCATATAAAAAAAGAACTGGATTGTTTCCGAATTGGTTTGGTGTGTGTCAAGCTTGGTTTTTTGGGCCTCACAACTTGGCATGGGCGCATGCGGCGTGGCTGTGTCCAGGGGCTGAGGCCTCCATTCTGCGGGTGCATCTCAGTGTGTGGCTCCTTCTCTCTCATGGCATGGCTGCGTGGAGACATGCAGCGCACAGGTGACCAAAAGGAGGTTGCATGGCCCAGGCAAAACTTCTCCTCCTCCAACCAGCGCTGCCCTTTGTCTTTCATTCAGCACATGTCAGTTTTACTCAGGCTCCCTTATCTTCACCCCGCAGTGGGAATTCTCAGGATGCGCCCACTTGGGATGTGTGACCCTCTTAAGAAGGCTCTGAGACCTCAGTCAAAATTCTTCTTTGCTGTAAGCGGATGGGCTGAGCTTAGAAGTAGGTTGCAGGTGTCCACTTCCTCCAAGGAAAGCCCGTTGGCATGTCAAGTCCATTAAAGGAGCTGGGAGTTGTGTAGCTGTGGTCTTGTGCCCATTGCTGGTCCGTCTCAGGGATGGGGAGCATCTGTTGCCCTGCAGATTCTGTTGATCTCCAGCTCCCATCATCCATGATCATTGGGCCTCTCAGTCAGGGAGTCCAACAACATCTGGAGGACCTAGTCAAAATCCCGTTCGTGTTTTCCCTTCACTACACAAGCAGTGCAGGAACATTTGCACATCTGGAGTAGGCAGACTTATTTTGCAGTAATAGCAGCTGTTCTCCCTTTGTTTTGGGGTCTCCTGTTCTTCGGGAGTCCCCCCCCCAAGGAAAACAAACTTGCCAGCTCCAATTCATTCCAGTGCCCACAAGGGCCATCCCTCCATCCCTCACACTCTGATCTTTCGAGGAGGGGGCTTCCCCCTTGCCTCCCCTGGGACCCTGCTGTCTCCCCAGAGCCCTCCGCCCTCCGTTTCGCCTGCAAGTGTTCTGCATCTCTGGTGTGTGTTTGCATGTGCCAAATCCAGCCACAACCATCAGCATGCATCATGCCACTTTACATTATCAGAGACGAGAGTCCTCCATGCAATGTTTTCCCCTCTAAATAGATCAGGGGGTCATGGGGAAATCCCTGGGGGGTTGTGGCGTAGGGGAGAGGGTTTGGACACAGCAGCACAGAGTAAGCAATCCACATGTTCCACTTTTTATTTTAACGTCATTGAAATCCTGTGAATTTGATTTGCTTTAAAGGGTCAAGGAGGGGCAGGAGTCTGGCTGGGCACCCGGTGCTCCGTGCGAGATCTTCCCTCGAGATCAAATCCACATTCTTCCCCCCAAACATTTTCTTAAATCTGTATATGAATCGATCTAGAAATAAATTTTAGAGGTATAGGCTGCCATTTTCGCAGCAGTATATTCTGAAATGTCTCATAAATATATTTTTGAATAAAGAGGGTGTCGTTCAACAGGTGCGAGTGCCTCTTTTATTGGTGGGCTCTACCGTGTATGTTTCAGAGTCTTGTGCTTGGACAACGGCGTCTTTGGACACCTGGAAAGTAACATTTATTGGCTTTCTTTGGATAGAGCCCACTTCATCAGATGCAAGGATGACACTCTGTTGTTCTTGCTGCCTCAGAGTGATCTGGCTGCCCCTCTGGAAAATCTTGGAATTCCCAAATATGGGTGTTTAGTCAAGGGTATTTAGGTTGGAATCAGGAGCGCCTTTTATCATGGTTCCACTCGGGAAGCAGTTTCTGATGTAGCTAGATGTTTGAGGTCCATAAAGCTCAACAGTGCCCGAATGAACTTCTTCCAAATTTGGTGCATTCCGTAGCCAGCTGACTGATGCTGACAGGTGTACTCCGTTTTCAGAGAGCACAGGTAAGTGCCCAAGTTCAGCCATCAAACCCTTGCAGTTATTTTCTCTATGGAACTTTAAACGTTGATTATTGGTTCCTGGGATCACTGCAGATGGTGACAGCAGCCACGAAATTAAAAGACGCCTGCTTCTTGGGAGAAGGGCAATGACAGGCCTAGACAGCATCTTGAGAAGTAGAGACATCACCTTGCCAACAAAGGTCCGTATAGTTAAAGCCATGGTTTTCCCAGTAGTGATGTATGGAAGTGAGAGCTGGACCATAAAGAAGGCTGATCGCCGAAGAATTGATGCTTTTGAATTATGGTGCTGGAGAAGACTCTTGAGAGTCCCATGGACTGCAGGAAGATCAAACGCATCCATTCTTAAGGAAAGCAGCCCTGAGTGCTCACTGGAAGGACAGATCCTGAAGCTGAGGCTCCAGTACTTTGGCCACCTCAGGAGAAGAGAAGACTCCCTGGAGAAGACACTGATGCTGGGAAAGATGGAGGGCACAAGGAGAAGGGGAGGACAGAGGACAAGATGATTGGATAGTGTTTTCGAGGTTACCAGCATGAGTTTGACCAAACTGCGGGAGGTAGTGGAGGACAGAGGTGCCTGGCGTGCTCTGGTCCATGGGGTCACGAAGAGTCGGACACGACTAAACGACTAAACAACAACATTGGTTCCTGGAAACCCATTAATGTTCCCCAGATTGATTGTACTTTGTCTATCCATTACTTTATACTGCACAGTTACGTTTTGTTTTAGAACATTTTCCCAAAGAGAGTAGCTGGAAGCATCTGTATCTTAGATCTTGCATTAAGGTCTTAATGCCAAAAGGTGTCCCTGGCCCTGATTCCATGCTCACGTAACAGGACTGGGGATCTTCCTTCACTCTGTGGCAACCACAGTGTGTCACAACCTTGCAAAAGCAGCTTGGGGTGCTGGGTGCCTCTTGCAGGGCTGAGGCTCAGCTCTTTACAATCAGTCCTCAAGAGTGTTGTGTATCCTTCTCGCCCCTTGTTTTCCCTTCCATGCACGGACAAAGAGCCAACTCCCCAAATTTGTGTGTCAGCCAAGCAACTTGAAGCTCTCCCCCCCCCCCCAACCTGTGGATGGGTTGCCAGGTCCTGTCTGTGGCTCACAGGGAGAAGCAGAACAGCCAAAAAGCCTTGAAAATCTGGGCTGTTCTGCTACATGGTGCTTGGGATATTTTGGCTGTAAACTGTGGCGCATGCAGGAATGGGAGTTCAGTGTCGGATAATTGCTACCAGCACACAAACGGAGCAGAGGCCACATCTTCCTGGACGCTTTTTAAATTTACTCCATTGGAGGCAGGGGGGTGTCAGTTGAGCCCAGCAAGGGATGACACAGAATAAGGCCCATTTCTATGTCCCTCTGTCCTAATTTGCTCACATTCTTTGAAATGATCAGTGTGCAGTTGAGGCAGGCCTGGCCCGTTTTATTTTCAATCGGGCGTATTGTTTTAAGGAAGCTACCTCGAACTGAGTTGGGCTACCAGTCTGTCTAGCTCCGCATGGTCTTAACTGGCAGTGGCTCTCCACGATTTCCTGCAGGGATCCTTTCCCAGCCCTGCGTGGCAATCCCACCATGGAAACTGTCCTTTCCTACTGAACTTAAAAAATAAATCCTTTATTAAATATGAAGCTGTCAACTTCCACAATGCCAAGCTGAAGCTTTCAAAATCGTGTTTCTGTTTTTAGTTGGGGTTAAGCATCGGGTAAAAGATGCCCTTTGTCTTCTGTGCCTCTGTTTCTTTGGGGTTTCCAGGAGGAATTCGCTAACCAGTCTGCTGGCGGAGGAGAAGAGGGCTCTTGACGTGGAGATAGGCGACTCTGGCGGCTGCTCCTCTGGGGTCTTCACTCCACACCTTGGGAAATTCAGCACAGCCGGCGCCGGTGCCTCCATCCTAACCTGTTCCCTCTCCATGTCTCCCCTTTGTGTGAGCCAGTTGCCTGTAGATGGAATTAATGAGAGAGAGAGAGAGAGAGAGATGGAATTAATAGCTGGGAGAAATTGAGGACCAGCCTGTATTCTGCTGAGATTCTTCCCGATAAGAACCTAAGGAGAGCCAATGGCCCATCTAGCCAGCATCCTCTTCTCGCAGTGACCAGCCAAATGCCCGTGATGGGAAACCCACAAGCAGGTTCCGAGCCCAAGGGCAGATAAAATCGTATCGTAAAACCTTTATTGGCATCACATACAACATCCAAAACAAATCAATACAGAAGTACCACTTCCCCGGTGGCACAAAACATTTTCTAAAAGAAAGGAGGCAGAGCAGTCTATCGACGCATCTCTAGGTCTCCAGGGAGATCAGGCGTCTGCAGTGTATTTCAACGACAAAAAACCAAATAGAGATATTTAGCCACTAACTTGGCGAGCTCCTGATCATTCCCCAGTAATAGAAAATGTATGACCTCTGACTCTGGTTTCAATTTGGGGGTGCAGAGTTGATCTAGAAATTGCTGGCGGAGATCAGCATATAGTTTACAATTCAGAACCATGTGTGTGAGGGTTTCCACCAGGTGGTGGTCTTCACCTGGGCAAGTTCTTTCTCCTTCCACCCTGCCTGAGAACCTTCCCCAAAGGAGGTTGGATGGATTTGAATTAAACCTGGCCAGCGAAAATGCCCTTCTTTCTTGAGGGTTAAGCAGAAATTCAAGTGCATGGTTGAAGTAGGGAACTCAAAGCTGCAGGAGGTAGTGATGGCCTCCAACTTGGAAGACCTTAAAAGACAAATTGGGGGGGGGGGTGTCTCTCTATGGCTCCTAGCCAGGATGGCTCTGCCCTGCCTCCGCAGTTGGAGCAATGTTTCTGCATCTGCTCAGCCACTGTGAGAACAGGATGCTGGGCTACATGGGCCACTGGCCTCATCCAGCAGATGCTCTGCTTGTGTCCTTCAGTTCCAGGATGCCTGAAAACAGGGAGGTGGTTCTCCCTTCCCCTGTTGCACTGCAGAAAATGATGGTCATTCTGGCCTCCTTTCAATCCAGCCCTCCTCAGACATCATCATAAGCCCTGCCCTGTCCTGGAGCCCCTCCAGTTTGTGGGCAAGAGGACTCCAGAGTCCCAGTAAATAGTGAGCAGGACAGTTTGTTCAAAGCAAAAAAAAAACAACAACATAGAGAATTTGGCTCTTTTCTGGCTTTTTTCTGGGGTCAGAGCAGTTCACAACCCCCTTGGCTGGCAATCTCTACCAAATACTTTTATGGGCAGTGCATTAGCTCCACAGCCAAAGGTTCATATTCCCCCCCCCCCCCAAGTGAGGAAAGAAAGCAGCAAAAGGGGCCCCCACCAGTGCCTGATTCAACGAGGCACCGACACAAACTGGCACGGCTTGCTGGTTGTAAAAGTGGTGCTTGAAATATGCAAGGAACTCTGCTCAGAATCTCTCCTTCCAGCCACCATGCCAGGAGCCTTCCTGAGAAAAGAGAGCTGGTCCCATGAGGACAAGTGGGGCTCAGCCTCACAAAGCTCAGCCTCGCATCAGCCTCCATTTGCCAGCCTCCTTACTTACAACCAGCCCAGGAGAGGGAATGGCACAGCCTTCTTCCTCCTCCTCCTGAGCCTCAGTTTTGCCCTTGTAGATATCAGAAGGGAAGAGGAGGCTGGGGACAAGACTGGAAAGGGTTTGTTTTGCCACCCCCTAGTGCTGGGCTAGGGATGCAGGTGGCGCTGTGGGTTAAACCACAGAGCCTAGGACTTACTGATCAGAAGGTCGGCGGTTCGAATCCCCACGATGGGGTGAGCTCCCATTGCTCGGTCCCTGCTCCTGCCAACCTAGCAGTTGGAAAGCACGTCAAAGTGCAAGTAGATCAATAGGTACCGCTCCTGCGGGAAGGTAAACGGCATTTCCGTGCGCTGCTCTGGTTCGCCAGAAGCGGCTCAGTCATGCTGGCCACATGACCCGGAAGCTGTACGCCGGCTCCCTCGGTCAGTAAAGCGAGATGAGCGCCGCAACCCCAGAGTCAGTCACAACTGAACCTCATGGTCAGGGGTCCCTTTACCTTTACCTAGTGCTGGGCTAGCAATGACAAACCTAGACAGCATCTTAAAAAGCAGAGATATCACCTTGACAACAAAGGTCCGTATAGTTAAAGCTATGGTTTTCCCAGTAGTGATGTATGGAAGTGAGAGCTGGACCATAAAGATGGCTGATCGCCAAAGAATGGATGCTTTTGAATTATGGTGCCGGAGGAGACTCATGAGAGTCCCATGGACTGCAAGAAGATCAAACCTATCCATTCTGAAGGAAATCAGCCCTGAGTGCTCACTGGAAGGACAGATCCTGAAGCTGAGGCTCCAAGACTTTGGCCACCTCATGAGAAGAGAAGACTCCCTGGAAAAGACCCTGATGTTGGGAAAGATGGAGGGCACAAGGAGAAGGGGACGACAGAGGGCGAGATGGTGGGACAGTGTTCTCGAAGCTACCGACATGAGTTTGACCAAACTGTGGGAGGCAGTGGAAGACAGGAGTGCCTGGCGTGCTCTGGTCCAGGGGGTCACGAAGAGTCGGACGCGACTAAACGACTAAACAACAAAAGTGCTGGCCTCCCTGCCTGCCTTCCTACCAGCCTCAATGGA